CCCATTGGACACAACTTGGATAGTCACTAAGGAAAATGTGCTGCTGAAAGTTCTCGTTCATGGGGAAGAGGAGACTAATTCAGGCCCTTGAGCAGCTTTGCTTTAAGTTAGAGAATTATCATTTTCCAGTGTCTTCCTTACAATCCAATACTCACCGGTAAGTCAATCATAAAATGGGCAAAGGAAATGAATAGACACTTCAATAAAGAATATATTCAGGCAGCTGAGAGATACCTTGGAGAAATGCTCTCGGTCTTTAGCTTTCAGAAAGGTGCAAATCAAAACTCCAATGAGATGCCATCTCACATTGCAAACATTGTTGCTCGGTGCCCTGCAGGAGTCAGTTCTGACCCATAGCGACCCTATGCACAACAGACCAAAACTGCACAGTCCTGCACCAGCCTCAAGTGTTCCTCTGCCTGAGCCCATTGCTGTAGACACAGTGTCATCCAGCTTGTTGAGGGCCTTGCCCTCCTTCACGGCCCCTCAATTTCACCAAACATGATGTCCATATCCAGGGACAGGCTCTTTGGATAACATGTGTCCGGAATGTGTCAAGCAGTCTCACCATCCTTGCCTCTAAGGAGCCATACTTCTCTCAAGACAGCAAGTTTGTCCTTTTAGCAGTCCATGATACTTCCACTATTTTTCACCAGCACCAACATTCAAATGAATCGATTCTCTTTCAGTCTTTTTTTTTTAAGTTTTATTAGCACTTCATCCACATGTCATACAATTCAATAATTAAATCATATCAAGAAAGTTGTAACATCACCACATTCAATTTTAGAATGTTTTCTTTTTTGTACTCATTGTTATTCATGTGATTATTGTTTCTAACTGTAGGAAAAAATATACACAACAAAACATTCTCGAATTCCACAACTTCTACATGTATAATTCAGTGCCATTAATTATATTCTCTGTGTTGGACAACCATGATTGATAATCTTTTCCAAATTATTCCACCACCGTTAAACTCACTGCCCCCTAAGCAATAACTCTTCCTCCTTCCCCCATGTTAACCACTGGTCAACTTTGGGTTTTGGGTTGGGTGTTTTGTTTTGTGATTTTCTTGATATAATAATCACATATTATACACTTCACAGTTAAATCGCTTTTTAAAAGAGTTTATGTGTATATATATATATGACTATATATATATATATATATATATATATGACTATATATATAGTCATAATAATTCCTAGTGCTCTCCACTCCCACTCACCCCCCACATTTGGTCTCCTTTGTTCAATATCCAACTTTTACATATATATGAGGCAATTGAAAATACCATGGCTTGGGTCATGGCTCACCTTAATCCTCAAAGTAACACTGTTGCCTTTCAATACTCTAAAGGTGTGTTGTGCAGCAGAATTACCTAATGAATGTGGCCTTTGATCTCTGATTATTGCTTCCATGAGCATTGATTGTGGATCCAATCAAGATAAAATTCTTGACAATTTCAACCTTTTTTCCATTTTTCATGATGTTACCTCTTGATCTAGTTGTGAGACTTTTGGTTTTCTTTCTCTCTCTCTCTCTCTCTCTCTCTCTCTCTTTCCTGTGTCTTATTGGCTCCTTTTATTTTTTTTTTCAACAGTTTTATTGGCACATAATTTACATATCATACAATTGAATAGTTCAATTGTACCAAGGGAATTGTACAATAACCACCACATCTATTTTAAAGCATTTCCCCCTGCCCCCATGCTTAAATTGCCTTTAATGAGTTGTGTAATCACCGTCAGTTGTAGTGAAATTTCTGTCATGGAGCAACTAAGAGATACTTGCACCCAGAACAAATCAGGTTGTGTCTAAAGGGAAGTCACCTGGCCAAGTATCAAGTTTAATCCAGCACAATCAAGAATACAATGGCCTCTGCCTGACAGTAAGTCTGTTCAGGACTCTTACCTTTGGCTAGAGCAGAAGGATTTTGGTTTTCTTAGCATTGAGTTGAAGAAAAGAAAAAAAATCATTGAGTGGTAATCAGTACAGAAGGTTGCAATCCTTAATCTTCATCAGCAATCCTACAAGTCATCACTTTCAGCAAGCAAGCCTATGTTATCTGCATCTCACAGGATGGTAATAAGCCTTCCTCCAATCCTAATGCCACAGTCATCTTTATATAAGTCAGCTTATCTGATTATTTGCTTATTGTGTGGGTTAGTCTGGGTACTTTAAAGAAACAAATCCACAGAAACATGTATAAGAGAGAGTTTTATATAAAGTTTAAGTGTGCACCAAGAAAACATCCCAACCCAGTGCCGATTAGAAGCGTGAACACAGAACCTTATTAAACCCATTGCCAGCAAGTCAATTCCTCCTCAGAGAGATCCACTGGGTTTCGAGGGTTTTCAATCCTTCCGCTGCACACAGTAAATTTGAACTGCAGACCTTAGAGGAGGTGCTTGTGCCTCCTTTTTAGTCATTGGGCGAGCCAAATGCAATAACTTATTCTTCACTTTAGTAGGAATATCTTGACATGCCCCTCACCACTGGACCCCTAGAAATTTTACTGAGGGTGGAGGGTGCATGAATCTTCATTGGGTTAATTTCCCAACCTCTTGCATGAAGATATTATACCAGTGAATTGAGTCTTTGATACATCCTCCTTAGTGAGTCCAATCAGCATAATGTCATTAATATAATGGACCAGTGTGACATTTTGTGGAATAGACAGGCGATCAAGGTCCCTTTGGACTATATTATGGTACTGTGCAGAAGAGTTGATGTACCCCTGGGGGAGAGTTGTGAAAGTATATTGTTGCCCCAGCCAGCTAAAGCAGGGAACTGGCTAAGGTAGCTGCACCCTGGTCCGACCATCAGAAAGCAAGAGAGCAGAGAACTAGAAAGGCGAGGCTCACTGAGCCATTTATCCCTCCACCCTTCAGTTAACCCCACATGTGTTTATCAGCCAGGTTGGCACAATAAACTAACTACCTCATTGTGTTAGACAGACAATAGGGTCTGATTGCTTTCATGGCAGACAACCTTCAGGCAGATAGCTTTCCAGCAGTTGACCTTCAAGTGTATAATGAATGACCAATTGTTTGCAAATAACACCTTAAATTTGCCATTATTATGGGGGGGGGATAATGAGGGGAATACTTTTACTTAGGAGAATGTGAGTAGGACTCATCTCCAAGCCATGACATGAAGATTCCCTCCACGGGAGCCCTGACCTCCCAGACTCCTTTAATGTATGAATGTTGAGAATTTGTGTATACTCTCTTCCCAGATCTGTTTCCCAAAAATAATGATCTTGTGAATCCCCCCAAATGATTGGGTGGGATCATTCAAAAGATTTGTGTGGCACTAAGGCAGCAGTTCTCAACCTGCGGGTCGCAACCCCTTTGGGGGTTGAACCACCCTTTCATAGGGGTCACGGATTCATAACTAGCAAAATTACAGTTATGAAGTAGCAACGGAAATAATTTTATGGTTGTGGGGGTCACCACAACATGAGAAACTGCATTAAAGGGTCGCAGTACTAGGAAGGTTGAGAACCACTGCACTAAGGGGCTTGCACAGCTTGCTAATATTGCAAACAAAGGCATAGTACTCTTGTGAGGGTTGGACCATAAAAATAAGGGGTATAGAACCCTATGGATGGTCAGTTTTGCCATCCCTCTGGGCTTAAAATGAGACATTTCCAAAATAGGAGACATCACTGCAACCAAGAAAGCAGAGCGGAGGGCAGAGAACATTGCTTGAACCCAGGTCCCTGTGCTGAGAACCTCCTAAACCCAGGGGACAGAAAATGGACACCTCTTAGAAACCAGAAATGGTGCTAGATAGAAAGCAGCAGGAGCAAGTGTAGCAGAGAACTGGCAA